GCTCAGGGTGTGCCGTAGAATGGTTTCCTTTTTTAATACGTGATGTCTTAATAACTGTCTTTGTGGATTACTGAAAAATATAACATGACCGCCCTAATCAACTGTTCACATTTTTTAAGTGGTATCAGCACTGTTAATTAACTCCAGTTTTAAGAAGTTGGGGAAGTTGAAAGCTGATGTGCTTTCATTCGCTGTGCTGCTAAGCTGATTTTCATTGATTTGTGCTTGTGAATTAATCAGCCATCTGAGCACTTAGTTATTCCATTTGCCTCTGTGCTTTCTTTGCTTGTAAATGATATCTTTGAAGTTTATTAAAAGAATGAGTCATGTTGTAGCTTCTTAAGAATTTTCCCCCTCTGTAGTCATACATTTTTCATGCTGCTCAAATCATAATCTGTATAATGAACACAGGGAAAATATTGCTATATGGAGCTGCGTCTATATAGCTGAACTTTGGAGATACATATCCTATTATTTGCGTGGCTGGCTGCTCTAACATAAGAACATTTTAAATCTTCGTTAGACTTTCAGAGCCGGGCTAAAAAATTAATGTACTTCCCTGTTCGGCGCTCCCCCGACTTGTCTGCGGCTGTGCACAGCCAACCTGTTTGCACGCTGGCTCTGAGTTACGGCGTGCAGGTCTAATATCCTTCGCTTGGGCAGATTAATAGGGGAAGACCCTCATAAATTTACCAGCGAGAAAGTAATTGCTTCCAAAACTTTGTACAGTTTTTAATTAGCGTGAGTCTGTTCCTTTTGTAGCCCTATTTATGCACTGTGTGCTTCACCTTGCTCTAATTTTAAGTGTTTGCAAAGGATCTGTCTCTGTTTATTGCTGGACATGACATGTTCAACTTTAACGTAGGTGAATTAGGTCTTGGGAGTGCAGCGTCAGCTGGGACCAGGTGCCATAAACATAGCAGGGATGCAAATGCCATTTAAAATAAGTAGAAGTGTTCTTCACGGAGGAAAAACACGAGAATGCAAAACATAATCATCCATAAAATTGCGTGTGCTCTCTTTTAAAGACCGGTGCTTGATAGGATTTTGTGACTGGAATAAAATAGCTTGGCCAAAGAGCAAAGGTGATGAAACCACCTAGAGAGGTACGGAGGAGTTGGGCTTTTGTCTAGAAGAAAAGCCGTTTCTTGTGCGAGTTTGCCCTTTTGGGCGCCGGTGGGTTTGTGACCTGTGTTGCAATACCACAGGTTAAACCAGTTGGATGAGCCTTTAATGGATTTTATCTGGAAAGAAAGAAATAAGCAAAAATACATCTCAGCAAGCCACATACCGCTGAGCTAATTTATGAGAACTTTACTGACTCCATTAAAGATGGAGGAAGGCAGTAGTGAATTTGGGGTCATGGCTAAGACTAAATCAGTAATTCAGTAGGTCCAAGTGATCAAATCTCCAAATTAAGAGCAACTGATCTCAAAATGATGAGGCTGATGTTGGGTAGAGTGGGGTGTAGGAGAACTTGAGGGGCTGCATTCACTGACCAGTGATGGTTGCAGGGCACGGAGCTGGCTGCTGCAGGGCATGGGTATCGCAGTGGCCCTCAGGACCTCGGCTTCTCTTGCAAGTAAATCACCCAAACCAGCAGTGCTCATGTCTTGGCTTTGTGTAGGGCACAGCAGGAACACGTGTCCCACTCCGACGCGCTCTCCTTCGGTCCGTTTGAGGTATTGGGTGGCTGGGAAGGGAGCTAAAGCAAGAACCCAGTATCTCTGTTGACTTAATACAATTAAATTTGAGATGAAGGTGTCTTTTGAATAATGCCGCTTCTAAATTAGCGACTAGTTTGAGTGTGCTTCCAGAAAACGATCAAAAAAGCTGTTTCCCCAAAGACTCTGGCTCCTGCCTGTTCGCCCTAGTGAGCTACAGAGCTTTGCAGACCGATGTGCGATGGGAAACTTCTCTCTGTGCTCTGCCCAAGGGATGCTCGTCGCGCTCGTCACGTCAGTCTGCCCGTGCTGGGTGCTTCCCACCCCACGGACTAGCTTTTTTTTTTTTTTGGGTGCAGATACAACGTGCCAGCACTGCGTGACCTTTACTTCTGCCAAGCCGGGGGAGATCAGGAGCGATGGGGGCTTTGGGGGTGCGTGAGCGATGGTGCTGGCCTTTCGGCTGGCAGGCGGCGTCGGGTGGGAGATCTGCAATCGGCGCAAATCAATCTTATGACAAAATCCCTCGATGTTTCCCGCGGACGTTCGCTCTGGGACGATTACTTCAGCTCTCAGCGTTCCACAAAGGAGCACGGACTCTTTGTGGAGTGGTAGGATTACAGAAATTCCTCAGTTGTTCTGGTGGCCTTTGACCAAAAGAACACAAGCTGCTTTTTAATGTCATCAAATCAACTCTACTCATCAGTAAACAATCAGAATTTCTCTACAGCCCCAACTTAAGCCTGGATTTTCACCCTCCCTCTGGGTGTGCGCGAGGCGCAGGCAAGAGAGGGACCTTTTTTCCAAACAGTTCTCAGTATTTACTGAGTTAATTTAAGCAAAAGATAGTAGGAGTGAGATGAGCTGGAGGGAGTTTTTACAAATGCCTTTATATTTTTGGGTGTTCGCTCATGTACTCAGCCCTAAAAAAATAATCTGTGTTTACTGACTGTGTTTGCACTGGCTTTACTGTGCCAATGTTGTTTTTCTATCTAGCTCAGGGCCCTAGATATCCAGGGGGGATATTGAGCAGTTTGGACAAGTGCCCCCGATCTCTTTTTTTTTTTTTTTAATTATATATTTTTTTTATTTTTTACAAGGGTCTGGAGCGCTGAATGCCCAGCAGTCGCTGTAGCTGCCTTCTCCTGTAGTTGAGGTCTGGGGTAAAAAGCTGCCACCCCTCCTGGCAGGCACTTGGTGAGCAGCCTGCAGCCCTCCATGCAAACGGAGCTGCCGCTACCAACCCAGAGAATTAAAGAATAATCTTGGAAACTGGGGACTTGTGTTTCTTTAGCTAGATGGAGGAGGTTGAGCAGAGCTCTCCACCTGGTTTCTAGAAGCACTTGGCCACGTGAGGCTTCGTGTTCTTCCTCTCGCGCCGGCGTCGAGGGTCTTGGTGGAACCTTGAATCGCTGGAGGGAGCAGCAGAGCCAGCAGCGAACCAGCTCTCGTGGTCTGCGCCGTGGTCGCCTCAAACAGCGAGCTCATCGCTGAGCGACTGGGGCGCCTCTGCCTCCCAAGGAGCGAATGAACAGCAACGAGCAGCACCTTCCTCTAGCCTTGAAATTTTCTTACCGTTTTGTAAGTCTTGTCCTAACTGGAAGTCGGAGGAGCAGCGCTGCCGTGGAGAGGAGCAGACCAGAGGTGAAGCAGGCTGGATTAGGAAGATGAGGTTTCAGCAGTGCCGGGATGCTGTCCAGGGCGGCCGTCCTTCCTCCCCCACAGCTTCCCCCATGGGCCCCATGCAAATCTTTGTCTCCTTTTTGTCCAGGCTGTAAAAAGAGGGTAAGCACATGTCCTTCCCAGAGGTGTTGACTTGCTGGCTTCGTTAAGTATCGTTAGGTGCTTGGCTACTGCAGAAAAACAGCTTAGAGCAGAGGGGCAGAAGCAAAGCCCTGTTATTTCTGGGGGAACTCTGTTTTTGCACCCAGTGAAGATGCTTTCATCCCCATGGAGCTGCTTCTGGTTTAGCAAAGGTCTTAGAGAAGGAAAGGGGCGATGTGGCACCAGACCGTGCAAATTCACCATTTCTGCATCTTTAAAGCCCAATTCCATCCCTTTGGTTTGAACGTAAAATTAGCACTTGTCTTCAGAAGACCTCGAGGTTCACAGACATCCTCTGCTTTGTTCCACTCTTGCACTATTTAATTTTTTTTTAGTGGTTTTGCTCTTTGTGCTCTCAAGAATCATCCACTGTGCATGCCCAGAAGGATGATTTGCATGCTTGCAGATATTTTTTTCCTCCCTTTTCTTTGGAGGGAAAGGCATTTAAAAGAAATCTGCTGTTTCTCTGGGCTCAAGCTGCCAGCATCTGCGTCTACACCTTTCTCCTAATGAGCCACATCTCTGCCAGTGCTCGGTCTGGGCACCGCTGCTCCGTGGGACTCTGCCCGGCCCATCCGTGCATGGCCGCGTAATGCTTTGCAAAAGCCCATTTCTTGCACCAACGTGGGGAGAATCCTACTTTTTCCTATAAAATGCCCAGTAGTCGGGAAGAACTTTGAGATTTCAAGATCCAAACAATCAAAATCTCCAATATTATCAATATTCATAGTGCCCTCGGTTACGGTTACCTGGGTCTCATTGCATGGGCACCACGGGGGAGACAGAAAATGGGTCTCAGAGCGCAGGGACCGTCTTTTCAGCTTGACTGCCAAAACGCTCTTTATCTGGGGCGGTTGCAGCAATTGTCTGCAGCTAAAATCGGCGGGTGTAATTCTCTCATAATTAAATTGAGCAGCTGGAAGCAGGGAGAGCCGGCACTGTGTGGCTGCGGGAGCTTCCCCAGGCGCAGTTAGGGAGGAGGGTCTGTGGGATGGTTTTACAAGGGCCTGGAACGAGATTTGGATGGATACTAGAGGACAGTGGCAGAAATGGCAGCCTTGGCTTGGAAGGGGAGAGGTCCTTACTTCTGCGGCTCATAGGACAGTTATCTCTAGAAGCGTCACAGTGACTTGCTGCGTTGGTTGTTTGCGAGCCTTTTTTCCAGGCATGTCGTGTTTCAAAACGAAGTTTTGGGACTTCTCGAAGGTCCCTTGGTAGCTCAGGAGCACGAGCATCCTCCATTTGCATGCTTTTAAAGCCACTTTCCAGGATAGTGACTGAGCTGTCTTTTACTGCTGGGGAAGCCTGGGCACCCAGTGGTTTGGTGGTGTGTTACTGAGGGAGAGACCAATTTTTGACGCTGTCTCCAAATGTGTTACCTTTCTGTAAGATACAGCATGAAGGGGGGACAAAACAGACCGTTTTTGGGGTTTGTTGTGGCTGATGTGCCGGCACTGCCGTGAGCTTGTGAAGGGTTAAGCTGACGATGATGGTTTCCATGTTTCTTCTCAGGGCGTGACATACTGCGGTGAAAGCTCGGCCAGCAACCTCACCATGGCCAACGTCCCCTGGCATGAGGAGGTGGTGCACTTCGTCCAGGAGCTGGCCGACCTCATCCCCGACTACGAAATCGCGTGCGAGCACGAACACTCGAACTGTCTCCTGATAGCTCACAAGAAGGTGAGACTGTGCCAGGGTGCGAGACCAGGTGCTGTATCTTCTTGGAAGTGTTGCACAATTGCCTTGTTCCAACACATTTTCTCTCTAGAGTTAGCTGGATGCTTTTTTGGGGAAAAAATAAAAGCATAGCATGGATTGCAGAGCGCGCTGTGGAATAGTGGCTGAAGCTGCTGCAGGTTGCAGCCGGTCGTGATAACTCACAGCACCACCGTGGCCATCCAGGCAAGAGGCATTTAACGGCTCCAGGAGGAGTTCAGTGCAACAGCTCCCGGGCTTTGTCACACACGCTTTGCCTTTTACGAAAGGCAAGAACAAATCCTGTTTAGGTGGGTCAGCTGGCTTTGTCTTGTTTCTGTATTTTCACGACGGTTTTCAGTAGTATAGGTAGCTTGCTAAGGAAGTTACACCAAAATAGGCTAGGGTTGTGTTTTTCCTCTTCTGGATCTTTGTGATACCTGCCAGAACTCCGTAGACCTCCTTCCTTTCAACCAGAGTTAAGATAATGTATTTTTCTTCCTTTGGAGAAATAGTTTTGGCAAAAGAAATTGATACGTGGATGTTAACAGAGGATGCTTTCCTTTTGAACTGGAGCTGCCTTTCTGCAAAACTGTTTTGCAGGACAAATGAAGCAGCTAGAACAATTCTACGCATTCTCCATCCTAACGGTGGAGGGGAGTTAGTGGTGCTGCCTTCTGACGCCAGTCCAGCGTCCCTTTATGCTACTGGAGTGCTTCGCAGGCCAAGCGTGTCGCAGCAACAACAAATGTTTTGTTTGGAACTTGGGTTCCTTCATAAATACCATCAACATGATTTGAAATACAAGCGAAACGCCAAAAAAAAAAAAAAAAATTAATTTTAAAGGATGCAGGACATGAAAAGTATCAAGTACAATTTGCTTTCTGAGCTTCAGAAAAGCTTAATAGCAAGGTAATAAAAATGTATGATAATGTGCTAGCTTGGCAACTGATGGAGCAGCTATTATGCTAATTGTGATGATTTTGCTCTTTGCATATTCTTCACTTGTGTTTGCTGAAGTCACGAGCACTCTTGCGTCCCTCGCTTAAAGGGGAGCGGGTTTTAGTGAGTGGTGGCGTAGGGCTTTCCCTGCGAGGTGATTCACGGTATGCACAGGGAATAACTCGTTAAAATCGCCACTTGTGAAAGGTCCGCGATACTTTAGATCCATGTTTGAAAATTATTAGAATCTCGTCGGTGAAAACGTCTGCACAGTTACAAAACTGTTGCTTGCTTTTGCGATTTGCAGTTTTATGGGAACGGCTGTAAAAGAGCAGAGAAAAACGGGATACCTGGCACGATTTTTGTTTTAACTCACCTTAAAGTTGCTTTATTTACAGCCTCCGTCTTGGTTGCTGCCACTGGCAACCGTGCCTGAGCAAATCCTTGAATGCAAAATATTCTTTTCCATTCTAAGGTGAAGGGCCCAGGGAAAAAAAAAGAAACAGATTGCCGCCTAACTTATTGATGCACAATTTAAGTAACACCGTCAGTAACAAGAAGAGATTGATACCGGCCTAGGCAGGATTCAACAGCTGCTTTGCTTTCCAAAGCCATTAGGAGAGGGTGTCTTTTGGAAACAATCTATACTCGGTACTAAAATAACTAATAAAAAATAAATTTATTTCTATTATGTTTAATTCTGAATTTCAGGCTCCAGTGGAGAATAAAATTTGGCAGTGTATATTATTTGCAGAAAACCTGTACTCTGGGAGCAATCAAACTGTAGTGAGTAATTACAAAATCAAAGGTATCTTTAAAAAATTAAGGAGTTGCAGGAAGACGGTAATAAAAAGCATTAGGAAATGTGATTTATTTCACTGTGTCCTTCTAGGTCTGAGTTTTGAGGTGTTCAAACGATGCCCTTATTAATAATTTTAAACGCCGGTATTGAAATGCCAGCCTGTACGAAAGAGTCTCGAAATGTCAGAGGAATAATGCATCTTGCTTGCAGCCTCTACTCCTTGATTTATGGAGAATCCTTGATTGGCACCTGCTTACATGATGAAAAATAGTTGAGGACTTAGGCTCTGAAGTCTCTTAAGACCAGGGATTTAGGTAGAAAAAGGGATTTTTAGGTAGAGGAAACTGCGGTTTGTATGTCTGCTGTTATTTTCTTTTCTTGGGAAATCAAGAGATGATACAGAGATAGGAGCTGTTGCATTTTTGGGGTACTTGAGTGTCTTAAAAATCTACCATTGGGCTTCCAAGTCTTTTCCCACACACACACGTCCCCCCCTTTTTTTTCCCCGCGGACCAGAAGCGGGTTCCTGGTGTCTGAGTGTCTGTCTGCGGTTACAGGTGAGGCACTTGTGAAAGCCTTCAGGACTCGGTGAGTCTCGGGAGGCGAGATGTGTCCCACCAAACCTCGGAGAGCTTTGGCTCTGGCACTCCTGCACCATTCAAGGCCAGCTTAAAAAGTCTCATAAACTTAAGCCTTACAGCAAAATGTTTGTTTTCCAGTTACCATTCACAGAGCCCTAAAAAATAACACAGAGAATGCCTGCGCCCCACTCGCCATGACCTGAAAAACCACTAGTTACTGCTATTTCCACTTTTTTGGGGGGCCAACTCTGTATCAGCTCCTTAAGCCTGGAGGGCAAGCGAGGACAGCCTGGGTGGAGCGCAGCCCTCCCTTGGCTTCATCTGGGCTCCCACGGGTGGGAATGCTCCTCTTCCCTGTCTTTTCTGCAGCCTCCCCCCTGCATGCTGGTTTCCAGCTCTCCTCGAGAGGTGCCCGGTGGGTTTTGGCTCCATCCGCTTTGATTCTTTTCTTTAGCAACAGTACTAAATTCTTGAGTAACCATATTTGCTTTGTAGCAAATCCTATAAACACCATGGTACAAAAAAATCTAATTTATTACAGTGCTTGTGAACTAATTGGCTGAGATATTGAGACAGCAGCAACTTTATCATTTAACAGTTAATTCAAGTAACCTTTTCCAGAGAGAGACCTTAGGCGGCTGCTTTTCCTGGGTTGTAACAACAAATGTATCCTCGAGATGACCATAACAAGTGCCTAAGAAGGGGGAATGTGCTGCAGCTGCCTTGCAGCAAGGATTTTTTTATTTTTTTTTTTTAATGAAAGTTAGCATCTTGGTAATTTCTAGAATAAAACCCTCTGTCCCGCTTTGTTGAATTTGCTTTATGCCTGTGTTTACCACCCGCTCCGTTATGTCGAAACGCTTGCCTGCCAATTACTATTACACTCAGTTAAATATCTACCTTGCTTTTGCACGTGGGTTGTTTTCCAGCCATGTTCTCCCTGATGCTTTACAGCCACGAGTTTCTCGTTAGTGCAGTTTGTATCGTGTGCTGCCGCTCGGTTTGGTCCTTAGCAAGTCTGCTAGTACCTGTGAGCATCCCTGCCTCTTCCCTGTGGTGCCGGGATTGATTTCTGCATCAATAGTCCTGAAATCCTGTTGCTTTTTGCTTTCTTTGGAGGTCTCAGTTAACAGGGTGAAATAAATGGCTGGTGGGCTCAGAAAGGTGACTGACATCGTCCTTTTTTGCCTGACTTGCACAAGCAGATCCGATTCCGTACCCTGGATCCAGATGTTGCCTCGTGGTGCGGATGCTTTGTCTCGCCAGTTGGATTATTTCCCTGGTGGATGTGGTCTGGGTTAGCGCTGCGTTCTCCAGCGCGGCAGGGTGAGCCTGGCATCCACAGCATGACCCAAGGCAGATGCTTTTAGGAAGGTCCCTGTAATAATTTCATTTCCCATAACCAAAATGCAGTGCTGAGCATCCACAGGGTACCTCCAAGGCAGGTGGCGTGGGTAGTTTGAGCTGAAATGAGGTGGGGGGTGATAGCCTGGCCAAAGGTGCTCATCACTCTCCATCAACCACGAAATCTTCCCAGCACAGAGGGAATCGGCCTTTTCCTTCCCACTGGGTTTTCCAGCACCGCCCGTGGCTGTACCGTGGGGGCTCGGATGGGACGCGAAGGCTTCACGTGCATCCTGGCTGCGCTTGCAGAAGGCTCGAGAGGTTGGGTGAAAGGCGTTGAAGTTGTTCCATGCTGAGCATTTCATCTATATTTAGGGAGGAAAAGGAAGCACTTAACTACCAGCTGCAGATCGACTAACAAGGGTTATATCAGAGAAAAATAGTCCATCGCATTTTATTTCCTTCCTGCCTTGCAAATCATTTGGAGAGTGTAAGCTGTCCCTGCGATCCAGCATCCCAGATCCAGGGTTTGGATCGTGTTCCCTGCCTGCTCGCCCCTCAGTTACCCTGTACCTGTCCCAGCGTTACAGTGCCAGGGGAAAACCAAACCTGGGTTGCTGCTTCGTGCCAGAAGGTCACCAAATAGGTGCAACGTCGCCGTGTCCGCAGCAGACGCAGGGGCTGGGGTTACTCCCCAGCTGAGGACCAGGTGTCTCCGTAGCCAACGACCAGCCTTAGTGCAGGCGTGACCACGAAATCTTACGTTTCCTGAAGGGTTTTTTTTTCCTTCCGTCGTCTCCTTCCAAATAGGAAGGTGGCTCTGCTGTGCTTGATCTGTTAGTTATTAAAAGAAGATCACAGTTGTGCTAAAGTAATCCATTTTTCATCCTTCGGAATTAAAACTGTCTGGATGTAGTCCTGACTTAATTGGCAGATGCGATGTTCTGCTCTGCAGCGGGTAGGGATTAAATAAAAAAAAAAATCTGCAATAATGAATCTTTTCTTTAGAATAACTCAGGCAAGATTAGATGTAATCAATAGAAGGTAACGAGGTGCAGAGGAACAGTCCCGCGGGCGCGGGGCCACGCGGCGCTGGCGAGGGACGGTGCCGCCCAGCAGTGCGCGGGTCGGGTCGGGTCGGCCTTGGTTTGGTGTCGCCTTTTTGTTTCGCTCTCTTGGAAAACCCAATAGCCAGCCCCGCTTCCAGGTATCCTAGTTGCCAGCTTTGGAAGGCGTTTCATCTGCTTTAACGTGTCTGATGGCTAACGAGCACTTAAGTCACTGAATGTGTAACTGTAAGGCTCCTTTTTTGTTTC